CTAGATATATTTTTAATATCAAATTTAATTAAGAATTAAAGGGTGATATTTTGATTAAAATAGAAGTTCTGTACAAAATGTTTATTATATACCTATCATTTTATAATACGTTCTTATTTAACTATTTTCTTCTAAATTCCAAAAGCCTATGAATCTATTTTACCGATTTATTTAAGTTCAGCATCATTTTAATTAACTTTTTAACTTTAGCACTACAATTCTAATTTGATGATTTTCTTTTTCAATGGTATAAAAGTTACCTTAAAGCAATAGTAAATAACGATTCCCTGAATTTTGTGGTCACAAGCGATTTTAATTCTGTTAGACCTTTACTGATATTTTAACCCTGCCTTGAACTCAGTGAACAGGCCTCTTCAAAAAGTGTTTTCCTATTTTCCCGTTCTGTAACATGGGTTTGAGCCAGTTTTCCTTAGAAAGCTTTCCCTTCCTTAGGCAGCAGCCCACCAGCTGCCCAGCGATAAAGTCGCTGAACATTGGTAGTTCGGTCCGAGGTTCGAATCCCGCGAACGGGGTGGTTGCATGGGCGTTTTCGTGGTTTTCCCCATGTGTAACGTCTTCACGAACCAGTTTTCCTTAGAAAGTCCTCCACGAAGGCATCCCTTCCCTTAGGCAGATAGCCTTAGTTTGCTTTTCCATAATTATATATATCAAATCCTTAGGCAGAAACCGTTGTTTGCTTTGCCGTATTTAAATAACCTAATCTAAATTCTGGTAACTTATTTTTGCAATCAAACTAATAGAACCCTTTAGTGACAGGGTTTGAGCTTGAAATTTTTAATAAAAATACACATTTTATTTCATTTTCTGACTAACACAAATTATTAAGTCTGATTAATATTATAAAACTCGACATATCAACTTAATTATTTGAAGTTAGTTCTCCTTGGATGAGTACAGAAGTTACGACATCAATTTCAGTTAGCGCTGGAATGGAAATACGTGACTTTGGTTCCAGCATAAACGAGAAATTTTTCGTTTGGGCAATTGTTTACGTGATGCCATCATAAAGAGCGTAATAAAGACTACACGTGTGCATGTTGCGGAAGTAGAAGCCGTAGTCGATCATGCTGTCACCATGGAAACGGATTCTTTTTAAACGCATAATGCAGCTTATCACTCCAACGTTTTACGCTCCATGAACACTTGAGCAAATATTGGCACAATAGATTTTCATCACAACATGAATTTAGCAGCTATCCTCGTTAACATGAAAAAATATTTTCAGCAGTGCCATATAATTTAGATTTTCGTATGCATATTTTACCATTGAAGTACCAGTAATTTATTAAATTTAAATTCACTCTTGTAACATAGGTTCTTGTTAGCACATTAAATAAAGCAATTAAACATATGACAAGAAATAACGGAATTAATAATCGTAAGCCTGAGAAGGTAAACGTAGCTCGGCAGATTAACAGCGTTTTATACTTTAAGGGAAGTAATGTAATGTAAAGTAATATAGTACGAATATGCTGCATCCCTTCCTGCCAATAAAAGTCGGCCTCACACTTATCGCAGCACACCCGGCACAGATTAAAACCAAAATACTGTTAAAACCATCAAATCAAAATTCCCAATACTGTTCTAGTGCCGTTTATAAAGTTCATCAAATACTTTGCAAATCTCAACCCTTTTCTAAGACAATAGAATTCCTTTATGTTGCCAAGTCTTTCCCTAACATGTTGTAGTAATACTCAATCTTCGACAAAATGTCGAACCTTCAGCAATTCAAATTAAGTACAGTAGAAGTCCGATAATCCGCCACGTTCGGGACCGGCTCGGTGCGGGACTACCGAAAATTCCAGTCTATCGGGCGGTAATTATAAGAACAATTAGGTTAATAATTAAACTAAAAATACAGTATGCAAATACTACAACAAAGTTATTTACATTCAATAAGTATGTACACTACGGTCAAACTATTTCACTTGATTAAAAAGTCACGAAGTCTTTTGGTTTTGAATTTGGCGTTTAGTATAAAATTTTTCTAGATTGGAAATCAATATTTCTGAGCACTGTAGCTCGTACTCCTCGGCAAAAGAGATAACGTATTTAGGATCTGCAGCTTCTCCACTGATTTTTTCTGAACATACAATCTAGTGTTCCAGTTTTGTTTTTTTAATGTTGTCTAGAACCAATTTTTCAGTTGTTACCGATTGAGAAGCAAACTCTCAGTTATCTTTTTGTTTTTTTTGTCTAATAGTTGATGAGTCAATATTAAACATAATTAAAAATTTCTCTTCTCGCTTTTTCTAGCGTTTGATGATTTCTAGTTCTGATTGAAGTCGGTGTTACGTGTTTTCGTTTCCTCCTTTGAACTCGAGATTAGGTTTTGAAAAAATGGTCACTGTACAGTTAGAACGAAATCAATTTTTTAAAACAGTTTCAAAAGTTACGTTACTGCGTTGTGAAAGACACAACACAACGCCAAAAAATGCGAAGACGCTCGTGATTGATTAACGGACTGCATGCACCTGAATTTGTTGTGACAGCTGAGACTACCGGCCGCTAATTGTCCGACAAACCGAGCGATTCCGGATGATCTCGAACTACCCGAAAACTTCCGAATAGCTCTCGAGCGGTTTTATTTGCTTTAAAGACAATTTTGGGAAAACCAAATTTTTACATTCCGGAGCGAGCCGGATAGAACACTAGCGAAAACCTAGCGAGCGCAGGAGACTAATAATTCTATATGCAAATGAACTATGATTTAAAAATTATCACTTATAATCTCTCGAGCTTTATCAAAGCGTAAGCAAAATTCGTTATTATCTCATTGCTTGCAGCATAATGAGTGAACCAATACGCATAATGATTAAAAATGTAAGGTTTATTTCTATTAAAACTTTAGAGTCTTAGGATTTTTTTGGAAGCAGGAAAGATGAAAAATATGCAACGCCTTCGCCGGGAATCGAACCACGGACCTTTGGAATACCTGCCCAGCGTGCAGACCACTACACCACGAAGGCACGCTAGGAAGGCGGGAGAAACACTTAACACAGTCTTAAGCGCAGTATATGTTTTGAATTTCCATTGTTAAATGTTGCCATATATGTTTCTATTCTTTTTTCAGTCATTCTTTTTTCAGTCTTTTCTATCGGGCATTCCGGACTGTTGGATGCCGGACTAATGGACTTCTACTGTACATTAATTTGGTTTAATATATAAAATACTGGAGATTCTGACAAACAAAAATATGAAGGAATAAATGATTAGTTCCAGATTTTAAACGGGTCCCCAAAAGGGTTTCTTAAGGTCTTTATGTTATTTTTGAACTTTCAGTACACCAACGTGCTCTGGTAATCACTGCTGCTAACACATACTTTTTTTGTCTTTTTAGCGTTATTATTAAGCATGTTTTCTTTGTACTTACATATAATTCATGAGTAAAATCACAAAAGTCTTGAAGAGACATTAGGTATTTTTTGGAACCAGGAGAAGAAAACACTAGCGAGCGCAGGAGAACTAATAAAATTTCTTATTATGCAAATGAACTATGGTTTAAAAATTTATCACTATTATAATGCTCTCGAGCTTTATCAAAGCGTATAGCAAGATTCGTATTATCTCATTGCTTGCAGCATTACAATGAGTGAAACCTAATACGCATTAATGAATTAAAATTGTTAAGGTTTATTTATTTTTTAAAAAGTTTAGAGTCATTAGGATTTTTTTGGAAGCATGAAAGATGAAAAAATATGCACGCCTTCGCCGGGAATCGAACCACGGACCTTTGGAATACCTGCCCAGCGTGCAGACCACTACACCACGAAGGCACGCTAGGAAGGCGGGAGAAACACTTAACACAGTCTTAAGCGCAGTATATGTTTAGAATTTCCATTGTTAAATGTTGCCATATATGTTTCTATTCTTTTTTCAGTCTTTTCTTAGTTTATCATATCAGTGTTCAGTTTTCTAAGTAAGATGACTCAAAAACCATTTTTATTACTATTTATTATTAGCGTTTAGTGTGTTAACTTTATTTATTACATATCACGTTCTTCGCCCTTATCCTTATAAATTTCAATTCAACAGCAAAATCACAAAATATTTAAAAACAGCATATCTTCAGAATTCTCATAGAGGGTTAACGGTTGACTTACGTATTTTTATATACGCTATATTATTTAATAAATAGCCGCTCACTCGGCCAACCACTTAAAATCGTTATCATGAAAAAGGATGTAATGATTTCAATGAGTCCAGTTGGTGCAATTTCATAAAAATATTGAATATTTTTAATTCGACATCTCGTGATTTTAATATATTTTGATTTAAATAACACTTAATATATTAAAAACTGTGTTTATTGTTTTTAAATCGCGTAATTTACAACATTGAAGATTATATCTGAAAATATCTGAAGGTTTATTGAATGACAATGCGCTGGCCCGGGAAAGATAAAAGTATTTTATTTCCAGCCGTGGCAAATATTGCTTTTATACAGCCGAGTTTGTTAGTTTTCCGAATCTTGCATTTTTCCGAATAGCGACAATACCGCACAATGGAGATAAAATGTTTTATTTCGAATAGTGTTGCCATTACTCCCTTTCAAACTGTTGAGTATGTTAATGAAAAATTTATTTGTTTTACAAAATATGAAATAAAACAAATTCAAAATTTAACCTTTCGGGGCTCATGTTCAGGTAGGGGATTCACAGTGCGAAGAACATGCGTACGCCTATGCAGATTCTTTATTATTTAATTTCTTTAAAAATAATACAGGGTGATAATATTTGGTGGCAATCATTTGAAAAGTGATTTAACGGTTTTAGTGATTCGACTCAAACTGCAGTTTCCAGATTAATAACCCTTCTGAGCTAACGCCCCTTTGGGCTAATAACATTACAGAAATACATAAATAAAACCAATTAATCACACAAATTTTCATAAAATTTACAACCATATATATAAATTAGTAGATTCATCAAAGTTTTTTTTTTTTTTTTTTTTTTTTTTGTTACAGGTCTTCTCAGAAATTCTGAAGTGCCAAAGACAGATGTCGAAGCAAGACCACCTTCTGTTTCTCCACAAAGGTGAGTTGTTATCTTATGGATAATCTAATTCCTTTATGTCACTTCGAATAATTCGAAATTAACATCTTCTTCATAAAATTGTTTTCAAATTCATATTCCGAAAATAAATGCAGTAAATATTAAATTGGTGGAGACTTAAGTTACATATGCATATTTAAATATCAAATTTATATTTGTACATTGCACGCTATTTTCCATATTGGAGTATTTAGTCTAATATTGATATTCTAATACTGACTCAACAATTGGTCAGCGTTGTACGTTCTGGTGAAATGCTTCCACATCCACACAGGTGAAAATCATGCAATTATTTGGTATTCCAGTAAGGAGTTATTGTAAGTCATTAAAACAGTGTTAGAATATGTTTTCATTGTTCGACGAATGCATTATCCATTCGAAACGGGATAAATGTACTCGTTTCCATATCATAGATGCATACATGTGTGCGTATGTGCATACGTATATGAAACGGCTAAATATGCTACAACATATATGGGAATACGATGCTTGAAGTTCGCTGAGAAACGTAAAATATATGTAATGCAAATGAGACAATATCATTGTCTTTCAAAAGCAATATTTGAGCTGGTAGAACAAGACATATCAACGCGTAGGCCAAAGCCTTACATTAAGGACACCTGTCTCAAATATGGCATACACGAAGGTAAACGCTGTCATGAATAATTTGATAAACGAATCAGGTTTGTTATTGAAAGAATTAGTTAGCTGCAATTGTTTTATAAAGCCTTCCTGGCATTCCTTCGTGGTGCGGTGGGCTACACGCTGGACGCGTATTCCAGAGGTCCGCGGTTCGATTCGCGGTGAAGGCGTTGCATACTTTTTATCTTTCTTGCTTCCAAAAAATTCTTATGTCTCTACAATGGCGCCCGAACTAAAAGGGTGGTGGATGATGATTCTCCCCACCCAGGATTTGGCGATAGGGTCCCCTAAAAACGCCAGTCGCCCTTTAAAAGGGGGAGTATGTAAGATATTTCTCCCGCCTTCTTCGTATGCCTTCATGGTGTAATGGTCTGCACGCTGCTGGACACGTATTCTAGAGCTCCGTGGTTCGATTCCCGGCGAAGGCGCAGCTAATTTTTCAATCTCTCTTGCGTCCAAAAGAATCCTTATGACTCTACAGTTTTTAAAAACCGCATTTTTAGCAGAGAATGTTTTTGCTGTCAACTTGGATTAGTTTTATATAATAAAGGAATTCTTAACTTATATAATGAAGGAACATTGTTAGGTGAAATTTTAATAGCATTTTGTTGTATCCTGCTAAAATCAAATTACTAATTTTGAAGAAGTTAAGAAATATATTACGCCGTAAGACAAAAAACTTTACTTTTGTGTAATTCAAGTTTTACTCAGTATGGCTTTTCCCCCTAATTTCTTGTCATACTTTAGAGTTATATTTACTTGGGATTCTGAAATGGTCGCGTATTTTTAACACTGAGCATTTAACAAATGACTTTTAACACTGCTTTTTACACTTTTCAGTGCAAAACATTGTTCTAAACGGAGCGTTGTACAGCACGAAGCTTATCTTCACTTTATGTTTCTGCCCCCCCCCAAAACATAAGCTCGAAATATTCCCCCGATCTCTAAAATTTCCTTTTGTAATTACGTTTCTTTGTTCCAAAAGAAAAACTGCCTCCCAAAGGAATTACTTCTAATAATGAAAAGCTTCAAATAATTGGGACGTACACTCTTAGAACCTTATAAAAATTAGATGTCTATGATCAGTCCTTTCGATATCTTATTGGACTGTAAGGATTATGTTAATTTTATTAACAGTTAAATTTTAAGTTCCTTTCCTATCGATTCTTAACTTCAACTTACCACTTCTGGCCAGAACGCAGTTTGAGAATCACGTCTGAATACATAATGAGGAAGAGCGGTATTTAACCGCGAAGTTCTTCGGTCTTAATGAGAAAGATACCAGGTATTCTGGTTACACGCGTCCACCCTTTTTAAGCTACTTTCTCGTAAGCCATTATCACGCTCAGCCGTACTTTAGGCCCTTGATAGCTTCGCAGTCTATTAACGTTAAGGAGCTAACTCTGTTAGAATTTTAATAACTTCGACTATATCTCTTTTCAGTTAAAATTAGTTTTAGTTTAATTCATAAGACTTATGCTATGTTTTAAATTTTTTTTAAACATTCAATCTCATTATTTAATTGCCATTCCGTGTATGCTCTCTGATTGTTTGTTTGGTTTTGTTTTTGCGGAAATACATAATCAGCTTAAGAATTTAAACCGACAAACGTTTTATAGTATAGCTCATGAAAATTGGATTGAATTTTCTGAGTACTGCTTTACTACTGCACAGCTATTTATAACATAAATAATAAAGTTGGTTATCAATGCTTTTATACCTAACATTTTAGTATCGCAAAGCTATTTCCGGAAGGTAATCTGAAAATGCTTTCCACTAATTCCAAAACGTCTCTAAGAAGTAAGTGCAAACTGAAATAGCAATAGCGAAAACGTTGGTTAAGAAGATAATCATAAATAAATATCACAACTTACTAAACATGTAAAAGAAAAACTGAAAAGTTAATGACTCTGAATCGAGTGAAAAAGAAATTTCTTTGGCAATATATTAATTCGGCAGAAGAAATTTTCAGTGATCTCGGAGATAATTAAATCAGCTAAGGAAATATAATTCTAGAAATGAAATTCATTGGCAAATTATCATTTCTAAATTGCTTCAAGATCGCAAGAAGTTTATTAGTAGTTTACAGTAAAAAAATGCCATCTTTTTTCTGACGATGACGAGATGTTTCATGGGAATGCAGTAAACCTGGATGATGCTAGTGTAATAAATAAATTTACGGAAAATTTTTTTTTAAATCTTTCAGTAGTCGTTAAGACGTATGGGTCGATTATTTTATTTTATGAATGTAGATGAACACTGAGCCATATCAATAAGTCAAATCCGATAAATAAAACTACAGAAATATTTTAAAATCCTAAATAATTCGAAGGAATTGGATACCCTAACAAATACGTTTGTACGAATAAATACTGTTTTTTAGTGTTCGTTTAAACAGTTATTACGAAAACTGTTAAATGTTTAATTCTTTTTAAGTATGTTTTTGTATGAATTTTCTTGGCCCTCGTAAACGGGCCGAACTTCAACAAAGTGCTCTTGCAAAGTTGCTTTGATAATTCTTAAGGATTAAAATATTAATAATTTCGATAATTAAAATTCTTTATCTTTTAGCAGTTGTTTCAAAGAGTAAATTGAAAAGTTTTAAAAACTAAGTTAATTACAGAACTCTTTAAATTTGAAAATTAAAGCACATGTCAGCTATTTTGATGTAGTTTTAAATAAAGTGCTAATTTTTATGTAACCCAGTTCAAAAAAAGAGCTTCACGTTTAGAAAACTATTAATTTATAAACGTGATAAATATTCTCTTCCTACAAAATAATTTGCGCCAAAATTTAATAAATAATATAGATTTTTTAATTACTTTTTAAAATAAACATTTGTTTGTTTCTTTTACTTTAAATTAGTATTATAAAGAATCCTTTCCATGACTTTACTAATAAGTAAACAACACCATTAACATTAATGTAAACAAAATTAATGTTATGAGTCTATCATGTACAATTAATTAATTTCCCAACAAGAAACAACATGAAGATTAATGCTAACAACATTAACACAAATAAACACAATTAACATTAATATCAACAATTAACAATGACTCCATAAAGGCAAGCTTTTGTACTTTGTAAAATTTACAGTACCTTTTTATCAATTACTAGGGAGCCTAGTCCAAGACACTGCGAACCTATCTGCGAAGAAGACGTGAAAGAGTCTTCCCCGGAAACTGAGTCCGCTTCTGAATCTGACCGACTTGCCGCTCAGGAGATTGATGAAGATGAAGAAGAAGCACCAACTTTACTCAGGTTAAGTGGCTCGAGGGTTCGATCCAGGTTTGTAAACATTCATGAAATTTATGACTGTCTGTCTTTGAATCCAGTTCATCAATCAATGTACGCTTGTCATTTAGTGAATCTGCCTAGTTTGTCGGCGGAAGTATTTCTGATATGTTCTCAAATATATCTTTATTTATTTAATAATATTGAAATCCATCTTTGCTTTTAGAAAGCGTATACTATAGTTCTGGGAAAAATATTAGATTACAAGAGCTTTCTATGTGAATGAATATATCGTATTAAAAAATAATTCATGTTGTCTTGTCTTAAGTGTGTTTGAAGTAAAAACGTCTTAAGTGCTTAACAGAAAGTATAGGATAGTAATTGTTGTTGTATTGTCTATATTACATGGAATAATGTTTGCCAGAGCCTACTCCGAAGAGAGTAAGCTCTGGCAAACATTATACGAAGAGAGTAGGATAGTAATTATAAAGCTATTATCAATATTCAAAGTTAACACAACGTGGTCAATTTTATAAATAGTTATTACTTGTTGCTTGATGAAAATCTGCAAATCTGAAAAACGAATCGATCTAATAATTAGCATCAACAACGCATTTTACGGTTACCACAATTTGTTATCACAAAAGAGATATTTTTCTGTTGAAGACCAGACATCTTTATTCGGTCATCTCGAAGTCGATTCTTTTACTCAACATTTATGCAAGATTGCTTTTTCAGGCAACTTTAATAATACTTACTTCTTTGTGAAAACGTTAGCGATAGGCATTTGGGAAGCTTAGGTCCATAGATATTAGAATATGTTAAATAATAAAACGCTTCTATAATTAAAATCATCAAATTTTAATTCTACATCTTACATCACCATGGGAGAAAAATTACATTCAGAAATAATATTTAGGCAATTCATAATTATTCTAATGTCTGTATGTATGCAATGTAACCTTATTCTAAGTTGTTACTATTAAACGTTTCTTCAAGAAAATATTTGAATAACTGAAAATATGTAATTTTTATTATATATTTTCCTTAAAAGTTCATCTTTAAAAATGAAATGTCTATTATATATTTACTAGCTATTTAACGTTCGAAATTTTAATATTCAGTTTTATAATGTAAAATGGTAAAATCAGTATGACACCGAATAAATATATGAGTGATTATATATCTAAAACCTGTACCTCAGGCAGGAAAACGAGGTATTTTTATAAACAGAAATTTTGTAAGGATCTTAAGTTTTACTAACGTTTATTTTATTTTAAATCTTTACTATCACTTCTTATTTTCTACTTCCGGCCAGAATTATAAGCGTTAAAGTATTTTATGCAAAGTTTGTCTGGCGAACGCCAAGTATTTAAGTTGTGGCTTTTTGCCAAGCGAAAGAGAGGAAGCAGTTAGTCGAAGCAGGCCGCTTACCCTAGAAGTTTACTCAGTTGCTGTTGCCTTCCAGTCCAGAGGTTTTAATCCTCTTGATAATTTAAAACGTATTGTAGGTTCACAGTTCTCTTACTCATACGGCTGTTAATTAAGGCCAATCTCCCCGTTTATTTTAAAGTTAAATTAGAGTAGTTTTATTTTTATACTTTACGTTTTGACCCCAAGTAGCGGGTCTGTGTATTTCCGAAGTACGGAAGTTATTGTAAATAGAGAAAAATAAAGGGTTTTGTATACCCTTCTTGTGTATCCTGTCTACTTCCCACAATTGTTGAACATAGCTTTAGTAAGCTCTCTGTTCCGAGTCAGGTCCTTGCATGTTCCCGAAGAAGGTTAGACGGAACATTGAACCTGATAATTTCATCGCTATTATTCGAACATAAAAACTTTCTCAGCTTCTTCAAGACGAAAGTAAGCTTCTCTGATCCATTTAAAGTAAAATTTAAGTAAATTCAACACACAAATATGTACACTTTCTTTATATAGATCTTACAGCATTTATCAGCACATTTACTGGAATTTACATTCATTTGTTAAATGCATTCTCCATGAGGAAAAGTAAGATGTATTTTTAAGAATCAGGAGCCCAGAGACGCAATCTTAACGGCGAACAAATTTATTTCATAACCTCTAACTAAAATCTTTCAGAGAACGCTTTGATATATTTAAAAAGAGTAAAGGGAGAGAATCCTGACCAGTTTCTCTATAATTTATGGGTGATTGCTTTTGTTCGAGTTCTTATAGGAATTCAGTTACTATTCAAACTAGTCTTAGTTGAAAATTAATATTCCATTTGCTCACGAATCATAATGATCCTAGTTCAAAAAGCACAGTTTTAATGAAAATTCTTTATAATTAGCCTCTGTTTAATAATTATAATTCATGACTTCCCTTTTGCTTGATAGATTTTGAATTATTTAATGCGTCTGTTTAAGAAAGATTATAAATATGTAAAAGCTTAAAAAATAATCAAATTTTTGGCTGCAAAAATTTGAGAATATTAGTTCAAGGAAAGTATAGTCGCCAATATTAATTAATTTTATATATTTATGGAAAGAATATAGTACATAATTTATGCAAAATATAATGCCTTCGTCATTATTTAGAATTTTGTCACATGTCATTACTGTACCATTAGACCTCTGTGAACAGAAAGTTTTAAAATGAAACTTTTTGCAGTGAAATAACTCCAGATCTAATTTCTATTTGGTTATGCTGAATCCTGCACTACAGTTACAAGTGAAGGCATTTAATTCTTTAACAAAGCTTATTTTTTGTTTTATTATTACTAGAATACACTTTGAAACAATACTAGTAAAAATGATATAAACATTTCAGAAATTTCAATACCAGGTTCCACTATTTTAATTATACTTTTATATTTAAATCGTTTTGATCAAAATCTAGCAACAAGTTGTTCCATAGTAAAGTTATTTAAAAATGTTCTACAGAAGATATACACATATTCACTTAAATAACTTATTCATTTCCTATATTTTATTCATAATTTCTTTTATACTAATGATGTAATTTGGAAAACAATATTCAAAAATTCAATTTTCTTTCAGCCAATGATAGGCGAAGGAAAACATTTGCTTCGAGGAGATGTATTCCGCACTTATTTTAATAGCGTCGCCTTAAAATACAACGTATATTTGGAATCAAAAGATCCCAAAAATTCAGAAGTCAATTAATTAAATAATTACTTCTGAATTCCTTAAAGATACCTCATGTAATCGTCAAATCTGGAGTTTTAATGACCATTCTTTAAAAGAATGAAAGGAGATTAAGTCCTGTTAATGGTTAGAGCCTTTATATGAGCATTGTTGGTTAAGGTGTTTAAAAGAATTTAGGGAAACTAAGTTGTGTAAATACCTGAAAGCTGTTGTTTTAGGACGCATTGCTACTGCAAAGATTTTCAGGAATTCTTTGAAATGTTGAATTTTTGTGCCGATAACATTACAGGACAGTAGTTATACGTCTTTTGATGGTCCGTCCTACGTTCTTGTTTCTGCCAGTCTCTGCTTGCAGACAAAACACACTTTTAGCGGAGATGTCGTTTAAATTTTGCAGTACGCATTACTGATCAATTTCACTATCAATATCATCATCCAAAGTCGATATTGATTATGCTTCCACGTGAATGTATGATGTGGCACCATTAATGATGTCCTTTTGGAATGTTATCTGCCATCAAGTTATTCCACAAACAGTCTAATTTCTTAACCAATCAATTACCAGTGTTATTTAAAATATTTCCCTTATTACCTGTGGTTCATACATAATGAAACAAGTGTTCGTTTTGAGTAATATATATGACACATCTAACTCGAACGTGCAGCACAACAATAAATGGATTGAAAAGGTATGGCCCGACGTTAAGGCCTGACCAGTTTTCTCATAAAAATTCAATGGATTTTTAACTGGATATTTGGATCTGCGTATCAATTTTGCCATTGCTATTCCACATGAACTTTGGTATTTATTGTAATATCTATATACGAGTATGTTTGAGCATTAACGTCATGACATTTTGTTATAAAATGAAGGTTTTTATGGTACTGGAGTATCAGAGTCTCTTACCTCTGTAACTCATGAGTTAGGCCGTTTTTCGTAGTAAGTTTATAGGACTTGGTTTATCTATATATAAACTAAAAAACTCAGTGGCGTAACAGCTCTAGTGGGCCAATACCTGCAGCGCCCCGAATTCTGCTTTCTTGATCGTGGGCCCCGGGGTGCGTAATGGCAGACCGCACATTGAGTTGAACAATGTTAAGCAAATTTCGCTTACTGCGCATGCTTGATGGTGTACCTTTGGCGCGGGGAGAAATATTGGCGACTAAAAGCAACCCTACGCTAGCTTATTCGTGATCACCATGGCTGTCGAGTGTGTTCGAATGATGTTTACAATTGTAGTGTTGTGGAACTTTGCTTATTAGTTATTTTAACGTCCATACCGATTGCACTTGCTTATTTTTCTAATATATATTTCATTGTAATTTGTCAATAACAGTGCATTTAATATTTGTTAACATATGTTCGTAATAATTCGCTATTTAAATGTAATTTATTTACATGTTATAATTCAGTAATTGTAAATTGCAGTATCTCGCTTAGTTTGTTAGCGTATATTCGCGCTTTTATTTTCTCATTTCAAAGAATTTAATAACTAGCATTAAGGAATTGTAAAATTTCTTCAGTGTTATTTGCAAGCACTTGTTATATTCCTCAGTCTTTCTTTATGTATGTACGAATGGAACGTATGGTAAATCCTGAATTGTTTTTATTGCTTAAAAGTATAATGAATAAATTTTCAACTAATATATCCTAAATTTCAGTCTTTTTCTGAACGAAAATTTGTACAGTTCCAAAGGAATGTGCAGAATTTCATTGGTATTATATTTTACATTTTGAATGCAAACACTGCTTCACATTACTTCGCAATAATTTCAGCTTTCTAGTTGTTTGAGCAGTACAGCAAAAAATAGTATTTTAACACAGTAATTAATTTACATTTACATTATACTCTACGAAGATTTAAACGCCAGATTTGTTTACAATCAGATGGAGGTACATCTACCATATACCGTATTTATCCTCTTTTCAAATCGCGCCAACATAGTAATTACGCCAAATTGTTTCTGGGCATGCGCAGCATGCGACATTCGTTTAACACTGTTCAACTCAATGTGCGGTCTGCCATTACGCCCCCGGGGTGCGTAAGCATATGCCCTGAACAAGAGGTGAGCTTGTCGCAGGACCCCCAGTGTTTAGTCCCCAAGCGAACTTGGTACTCATTTTTATCGACCCAAGAATGGAAATCAAGGGATGAAAGGCTGAGTGGACCTTGCCTAGCCCGGAAATCGATTCCCAGACCTGTGGTGCTGCTGCGCGATGTGCTAGCCACTGCGTCGCCGGGCCTCTTTATAGCTTTAGTAGTATTGGGAGTTTCTTAAGAGATTCTTGAGAATCCAAGTACCTAGCTGTACTTCAGTATAATACAGGAGTACCTAGCTGGAACAGCTTACTTCCATCGAAGAATTTTCTTTCTGAATGTATCAATACGAAATAGAGACAATGTCCAGAACAGGTAGGCAGTCAATATGACTCTCAATTCCGAAGGCTTATGGTGGCTCAGCGAATCTGACAGTTGAGAACATGGTCACAGAAAATGCAGATAAAAGGCAGAACGAAATATTTTCGGGAAAAAATGCATAAGAAAAATAAGCACATTCAAACGACATAATTCACACAATACAAAACTTAATAATAGAAATAACACATATTATACTAATTACTGAAAGGAAGAGAATGTGGGAAAAGTCTATGCAAAATAAAAATTCTAATTTCCAATACTACTAAAGGTATTCTTAAAAATATTGAATACTACCAGCAATTTATCAGTGCGGATGGAGCATTACTACTTTCATTTGCCTTCATTTGCCCTTCTTGCAAAAGTCCTAAATACATCCATAATTGAAAAGTGCGAAAATATTCTTTATGTCTCTGACAATTTGAAGAAACTCTGTAGTGGCACTGTAGTATTTCGGTTACATTCAGTAACTTCTAGGTTTGAATTAGTAGATATTTTAGCTCGTAACTGCTTTCTATTTCTGGGGAAAAAAATTAGATTTATTGACATTTGGAGCATCAGATTTATTCAAGTCCTGTGACTTGTTAGTTTTTTTTTTATTTTACAGCCGCAGTATATGAATCAAACATCGAATTTCCGGGAATTGTATAACAGTGCTAGACTGATCAGGCATCTTAGATTTATTGAGTTTTCTTCACATTCATTTAGGTTCTTAGGACAAGATCTAAAGTTGGCAGCGTGACTATGACCACAATTACAGCAATTAAATTTTTAAATACATTTCACAGAATAATCCGAACTCTTGTGACCAAGTTCACATTTAACGCATCTGGACAGAAGCTTACATTCGTGCAAAGAATGATAGCAATGCTGGAAATTGTGGCTTTGAGCTAATCCACCCTTGCATTTAAATGGTTCCACTTTGATTTCGAAGTTCAGCACATGAGTGAGATTATAAATTTCTTCTAAACCAATTTTGTTTACTAGTTACTTCTAAAAAACAGGCACTTATACGTATTAATCTATGTATGGGGCAAACGTTAATAATGTAATATTCCTCATCAGCTAAGGACTGCTTGATTTCTGATGCATCACAATCTGAGCGCAAACCTCTTAAGATTACCTTGGCCGGTTTAATCGAAATGCTGCGCGCAACATAATGTTGTATCATATTCTCAGTAAGGTATCTAGTAATTGTTCAATGGCTCTCCGGACACAAAAACATAATTTTGAGAAAGTGATCTGAAGTTCGTGCTTTGAACATATATGCAGTATCCTCATTCTGATTTCCTAACATATTCAGATAATTCCACGGGTGGAGTAATCATGATAGGTTGGACTCAAACCTTTTCGGATGGCGAGGTAGGAGTGGAATCCATATGAATTCCTTCGTCATTGTTAACGAAATTATCAACACGGTATTTGTATCTACATTTTTAACATTTTTTGCATGAAAGACTTTAAGCTTATTTACATTAATTAAGACACAATAACACGCCGAACAAATACTAATCTAGAAGTCAAACAAAATTCTGCGCTACATTTTCAAATTTTCACAGGACTAGTTTCGATGGTTTTATTGAACCACCATCCTCAGCTGCAAAAGCGCAAATGAACGAGATAGGATATAATGATTGGATAAGAAAGCCTGGACACAAAATAAGCTAGTGGCGCCATCTCTTGATGAAACCAGAACTAAAACATAATTTCTTTAAAGGCCGAAGGCAAAGATAGATTGGAATTAGGATCATTAACTAGAACAGAAAGATTTTTTAGAATACCATCGAATACCATCGAAATTAGTCCTGTGAAAATTTGAAAAACTAACGCTGATTTTTGTTGTTTGACTTCTGAATTATTTACATTAGTTATATCAGTGTTACAATTTAACATTTTATCAGGCCGTGCAGTTTTTTTGGGCGACAGGAAACCACTAAACCATTTCCTAAAATAAGGCAGCATTTTTTTTTTTTTCAACTTAATCGTCACCAAAGCATTTAGCAGCAGAAATACAGGAATTTACAAAAAATGCATTTATAGCCCTAAAATCATCGCATTTACTTTTTAATGCTTTCAGACGGCTGTTCACAGTTGTAATTTCCCATTTAACCACTTGACAATGAACCGCTCGGTCCAGGTGGGGGGATTTCCTTCAGAAATCTTTCCGATAAATCTCGAAGATTAGCATCGTATCCTTTAGGATTTGATGGAAGTTTTAGTGCATGCACAAAGTCCGTTTCGTCGAAATTTTCTTCACATAGTAAGTAATCTGTCAAGTATATCATCCAGTTCCTCAGAACATATATCAAATCCCTCCTCCAAGTCCGAATTGCAATCAGAAAGACACACAAAATTAGAAGCTCATGAAATACATCTCAATGTTTGTCGACTCATTTCGGTGATATTCTGCACTTGATTATAACTTATATTTTAACCTTATCCTAATTTGCCAAATTTTACTTGCAAATTGTATTAAGTGCTTTTAAATTTAAACTTCATCACCAGCAGACTGGACTTGCGAATGTTTTATCTTGGATTTTGTTCCTTTATTTTCAGGAGCTCTTCATCGTCTGATATTGATGAAGGAGAATCTAGGCTAATGGTGCTTCAAAATGAGCTCATGTAAGTATAACTGAATATTTTCAGATGATAGTGATTTGAATTTTAAATCATTAATGTTATTGGCATGATATTGACATACTGACATCAGACATGAAGTCATTTTATGATGTACAAATCGGTCCGGATGTGTTCTGATGCTTGCAAGCTATCCTATAAATCATTTTTAGCAGACATGCATCTGTTTTATTTATAATATTTAAATGTTTAAATGTTTGTAAAATTTCAGATTGTTTCCATTGGAAAAAATGATGATTCGTGCAAATATGACTTTGGGATTTAAATGAAATTTTTATTGCATTGTTTGCGACAACAAGGCACTGACATCGCGAATAAATCTAAAAGCAAGATGCTGACCTCTCTAGAAATTTTACTTTCACAATAAAATTGCTTGAAAGTTATAGCAATTCATTTTTTTTTCCTCGAAGAGTAAGAAACACATTGCATACGCTTCTTGTCCCTTATCCAAAAGAGGGAAATTAAATTTTTATGACTGAAACGGCGAGCGAAACGCGGTATATTATTTTATTTGCTATGTTTGTCAAGTAAATATTAGTTCTGTTATTATCATGCTCAGGAGTTTTTTACCGTAGCTGAAATTTAAAAACTTGAGAAAAATGGTATAAGCACAGTAATTTTTTCTATTATTGAAACCACAAATACGTCAATTTTCGCAAAATTTTTCGGTTCTATCTCTAGCCAAAGTAATATTTTTTTGTTTTATGCCTAATTTAAAGTGTTCAACTGTTGGAAATTTCTTTAAAATATTAAAAATACGAAATATGCAATATAATTTTGCATAAAGCATTTCTTGCTATCATAAACTGCATGCTCGTAATTTTACGACAGAACAGTTTGGATACTCTATTCTAATACATTATGTAAATAAACGTATTTACGGAATACATATTGTTACGAATTTTGTAGATATGTAAATAATTTCAGCGAAATTATAGCATCTTTTTATAACGATATATGAAATGTTTGAAAAAGCAAAGCTGTGCCGAAAATGTAAGGTACAAGGGCAAGTCTATTTAACATTGTAGTAAATGACTCTCTCACTAAATTAGCAAGACATCGCCAAGATGGGGATGTTTTTGTTATGTTGAGAACCAAGGCACCAATCTGTTATGTAGAAACTCACGGCACCAATTGTCAAGTCACGGTTCCAGTTTGTTAAGTTGTTGAAACATTAGAGTAATTGGAAAAGCCGGAGAGATGAAAAATGAGCAATAGCCTTCGCCGGGAATCGAACCACGGACCTCTGGAATACCAGCCCAGAGTGCAGGAACACCACGAAGTCACGCTAGGAAGGCGGGAGAAATACCGTATAAAGTCACGGAACCAATTTGTTACGTAGAAAATTTAGCTGACGTTTAATATACCAAAAATTAAAATATACTTCTTTGAACTTAAATCAAATACTGATCAAGAACTATTCCATATAGTGGTTTCAATTAACTGTGTCAATATTAATAGTGAATTTAACCTAGATATAGATAACCTAGAAAGATATCCGAAATAACTTATCATTTAAACAAAATCACTTTAAAGGAAAGAGTAAGCAAAAAAACAACACATGTAAAGTGACATACCTGCAGCTCATGAGTGACATACCTGCAGCTCCTGTAATATTAAGCTCATGAGTTCAGTAAGTCCATAAAGAATTGATAATCCAAAATATCAGAAACAAAAGGATAAAATTACGGATAATGACACAGATCACAGGGTACCTTTTTCCCTATTCTCAGGTTGTGGATGACCGAGGTGATTTCTTCCTCTATTTTCCTCCTTCAGATACCTTCCATTTTTTGCCCAGGCAGGAGTAGGTTGATTTTAGCAGTGCCGATAGCTCGAATCGAGGAAAGAAGCAAATTGCACGTAATACTCCTACACAGTCTTCGATGGTCGATGATGAAATGGGGACGTGTGGTATCCCCGTCCACTCATTTTGCCTCTTCCCTTGGCCAAATAGTCTACATGGTTGTCTCCGATCAGATGAAGAGGCATTCGATAGAATTTAGCCATTCATCTGGATTCTCTCACTCCGCTGCCGTTACTCTAGTCACTCAAGTAATCTTGCAGAAAAGAGGTATTTGGGGGTCAGTACAGCCTAACCACTTCGTGTCCTCCACCACGTTCTCACATGACTGCTGCAGTTCCTCTACACCACTTTTCAATCTCCCCTCGGCAACTGGGCCAAGGTAATTTATTCGTCGCCGGGTTACTCCCAGATAAAACAACTCGTTCCTTTCATGGCACTCTCTCACGGCAATGGACCAGTTTGTTTTCCTTAAAAGCTGAGTTCTCGAAAGTTTCGCTCATATTTAACTCTCCGTTCTCGATGGTTCCCCATTCATTTGATGGGGATCATGAATTCTCACCGCCCTCCCCAATTCCCGAAAAAGGAAACCTTTGAAGTCATTTTTCTCATTTCTCCTCCTTCTAGAAAGCTCTCTCATATTTTTTGCTTAACTTTCAGTGAATATTACTTGCTTTTATAAATATATGCAAAGAGTCAGAAACCATTTCTTCCAATTAAAAATTCAAATAAATAATGTTATGAAATGCGTTTATCCTTAAAAAACGACATAAAAATTTCGGCCACTAATTTTTGTCGCAGATTTAGCGAGAAATCACCAAAATTAGCCAAATTATCATTTTGCGACAATTTCATCCTGTTCCTGTATAACTTTAATTGATACTGTAACTGAATACCTGTAATTGATTCCTATATGTAAATGTAACCGTATCTGATTCTTATGCGTAACTTTAATCGCACATGCCTTCCGGTAATTTCGAGAAATGGAAGGTACTAGAAATACCTTGGAGACCGGATGAAAGCTATATAAGCCCAGAGAGAACAGGAATTCGCAGTATTCCCAATTATAAAGCCAGTCGCAATTATAAAGCCACATTGAAAGGTGATTCACTCACCTTAAGAATATATGAAATCGATTATTATCGTTTTATCACTAAAATGTTTGAAACGCGTGGAGTTCCTTTCCACAGCTTTAAACTTTGAAAAATCTTTGAAAGTCATGATTAAAAACTTTCTAAGAAATACCAACGTTGATGCTATTAAGCAGGAAATTCTCAATAAAAAAATTCCAGTAAACAAAATAAGGCAAATAGCTACAGCTAAAGATGAAAACATTATCATTCTTTCCCTATTACAAATCGAAACCAAACGCACAGTAGAAGGAAAGAAAATTTACAACCTTGATATCACAGCTGCAACTTACGAATCTAAGCCAGGTCCCTTGCAGTGCCATAAGTGCCAGCGGAACGGGCACACACGGGATCTGTGCCACCACACTGCCAGATACCTTAAATACACAAAAGGACATGAAACATATCAGTGCGTTTTGAAACGAGATGACCAAAATTCGGCTTCTTGCGTCTAATGCGGTAGAGACCACGTCTCATCGTATAAGGGCTGTGTCAAACACCCAAATAATATCCTAAAAGCCATCGCAAGAGCGAAAAATAAAACCGCAAGAGCGAAAAATATAAACCTTAATAAGTGATAATTCACAAATATTTATATTTGATATTGAAGATTTTCCTGCTCCGAAATTTTTATGTCGTTTTTTAAGGATAAACGCATTTCATAACATTATTTATTTGAATTTTTAATTGGAAGAAATGGTTTCTGACTCTTTGCATATATTTATAAAAGCAAGTAATACTCACTGAAAGTTAAGCAAAAAATATGAAAGAGCTGTCTAGAAGGAGGAGAAATGAGAAAAATGACTTCAAGGGTTTCCTTTTTCGGGAATTGGGGAGGGCGGTGAGAATTCATGATCATCAAATGAATCATCGAGAACGGGGAGTTAAATATGAGCGAAACTTTCGAGAACTCAGCTTTTAAGGAAAACAAACTGGTCCATTGCCGTGAGAGAGTGCCATGAAAGGAACGAGTTGTCTTATCTGGAAGTAACGGCCAAATCCGGCGACGAATAAATTGCCTTGGCCCAGTTGCCGAGGGGAGATTGAAAAGTGGTGTGGATGAACTGCAGCAGTCATGTGAGAACGTGGTGGAGGACACGAAGTGGTTAGGCGGTACTGACCCCGAAATACCTCTTTTCTGCAAGATTACCTGAGTGACTAGAGTAACTCACCTTAAGAATATATGAAATCGATTATTATCGTTTTATCACTAAAATGTTTGAAACACGTGGAGTTCCTTTCCACAGCTTTAAACTTTGAAAAATCTTTGAAAGTCATGATTAAAAGCTTTTTAAGAAATACCAACGTTGATGCTATTAAGCAGGAAATTCTCAATAAAAAAATTCCAGTAAACAAAATAAGGCAAATACCTACAGCTAAAGATGAAAACATTATCATTCTCCCCCTATTACAAATCGAAACCAAACGCACAGTAGAAGGAAAGAAAATTTACAACCTTGATATCACAGCTGCAACTTACGAATCTAAGCCAGGTCCCTTGCAATGCCATAAGTGCCAGCGGAACGGGCACACACGGGATCTGTGCCACCACACTGCCAGATACCTTAAATACACAAAAGTACATGAAACATATCAGTGCATTTTGAAAAGAGATGACCAAAATCCGGTTTCTTGCGTCTAATGCGGTAGAGACCACGTCTCATCATATAAGAGCTGTGTCAAACACCCAAATAATATCCTAAAAGCCATCGCAAGAGCGAAAAATAAAAACGTTACCTTAATAAGTGATAATTCACAAAATTTCAAGTTTGATATTGAAGATTTTCCTGCTTTTCCAAGAACAAAAGTCATCAGATTCTCCTCCAAAAAGGAGCCTAACACATAACGAATCTAAAAGAAAGAAATGATATTTCATTCTTTGATTGGATGAAAACCCAATTAAGGAAAGTAAAAGAATTATTTGCGAAATTTAAAGGAGCAAAAAAATATTATGGACAAATTCTCAGTAGGCATTGCTGCAGTAGAATAGTTCTCAAACCTCAACTATGATTTTTAAATCAGTCAGCAACTGTCGTAAATCTGTACTTCTA